ATGGCGCACTTACAATCAAGATGGCCACCAAGATGCCAAATAAAAAGCCATAAGTCGTTATCGGCATATTCTGAGCGTAGAATCCAACCCCGAAGCTTGCCAAGCCAAAGAAGACAAGAATTAGCCTCATCATGTATTCACTGCGATTTTGCCCATGGAAATCCTACATGTAAGTGCGCCATCGTACCATCCCCCAAATTTGTATGAAAAGGAAAACACCAATTTATCAGCCTAAATATTACAGCTCCAACCCTAATTAGCGGCTAAATTTTAATGGTCAAGTAAATTTTAGTTTACGCATCACAAATTTTATCTTCCCGCATGCTTGCGACGACGACGACCACCGCGATGACGACGTCGAGCTTGCCATACACAGGCTCTGCGGCTGCGTCCATCATGGCGACACCCTCGCGGGCGCCGCTGAAGCGCGTCAGCACGGTGCAGTTTGGGTTGCTCTCACCGGATGAGATTGTAAGACAATTTTCCTTTCGATTTTCTTTTTCCCTTCACATTTACTTATTGCCTCGATATTTCGGGCTTCCCCATTAACTTTTTTATTGGAAATTACATTTTTTCGTATTTTCTAACCCGCAGCGGGCAGTATCCGTGGCCCGGATCGAGTACCCAGAAACGGTGGAGGGCGGCGTGCCAAAGATCGGTGGTCTGGCGGACCCGCGTCTTGGCACCAACGACCGGGCCGTCAAATGCGCCACATGTGCCGGGTCTATGTCCGACTGCCCTGGGCATTTTGGCCACATCGAATTGGCACGACCGGTCTTCCATATCGGCTACATTGACAAGATCAAAAAAATACTAGAATGCATCTGCTTTCACTGCGGGCGATTGCGAGTAGATCCTGGTGTTGCTGCAAAGGCAGCAGTAGCGCGTTCGATGCGCGAGTCCCGGGCACGTCTCAGCGCCGTCTGGGCAATATCCAAGACGCGTATGCGTTGCGACGTTACGATCGAGCAACCGGTGGCCGAGGGCGCAATATCATCATCTGACGCTGCCAGCTTCCACGAAGGCGAAGAAGAGGATGGCGATTGGGTTTCTTACAAAGAGGAGGCAGCCAAGCGGAAAGCACAGTCCAAGGATGAACGTAAAGGGCAGCCTCTAATGGTTGGGTGCGGCCAGATCCAGCCACAAATCCGTCGAGATGGGCTGCGATTAATGGCCGTCATTCCCGCTTCAAAGGCTGCAGGGGACGAAGCACTTTCCCGCAGCGTTGTGCCACCTTCACGCGTGCTCGCGCTATTCCGCAAGATTCGCGATGAAGATTTGATAACAATGGGGCTTTCGCCCATTTTCGCGCGACCCGAATGGATGGTGCTCAGCGTGCTAGCTGTGCCGCCTCCACCGGTACGACCGGCAATCCAAGCCGATTCAGGTGCCGCCATCAAAGGCGAAGATGACTTGACACACAAACTGGCAGACATTGTCAAAGCGAACGCTGCTTTAGCACGGCACGAGGCTGAAGGGGCTCCTGCACACATCTTGGCAGAGTTTGAGGCTCTTTTACAGTTCCACTGCGCTACATTTATTGATAACGAAATTCCAGGGCAACCACAGGCTTTGCAAAAAAGTGGCCGGCCACTTAAAGCCCTACGTGCACGTCTTAAAGGCAAAGAGGGCCGTTTGCGTGGAAATCTCATGGGAAAGCGTGTTGATTTTTCTGCACGTACGGTGATCTCCCCAGACCCGAACCTAGAACTGGATGAGGTTGGTGTGCCTCGCTCTATCGCCATGACGTTAACTGTGCCAGAACGCGTGACCCCATGGAACGTAGAGCGGCTGGCGGCGTTGGTGCGAGAAGGACCTCGGGTTCATCCTGGAGCACGATACGTTATCCGCGAGGACGGGACTCGCGTAGATCTTCGTTTTGCGACCCCAGAGTCGTCATTATTGTTGGCACGCAATGTAGTTGTGGAGCGCCATTTGTCTGATGGCGATATCGTGCTTTTCAATCGGCAACCATCGCTACACAAAATGTCAATGATGGCCCATCGAGTGCGTGTGATGCCCTACTCGACATTCCGGCTAAATCTTTCCGTGACAACGCCCTACAATGCAGACTTTGACGGGGATGAAATGAACATGCATGTTCCGCAAGGCCCCGAATCGGCTACAGAACTACGCTCACTTGCCGCGGTCACGACACAAATCATCTCGCCGCAAGGATGCAAGCCAGTGATGGGCATCGTACAGGATTCACTAACGGGTATCCGCAAAATGACGCGGCGGGATGTCTTTGTGAGCTGGAGCCATGTCATGGGCTGTCTATGGGCCGCTGCGTCGCCACAATGGAATGGCCGGCTGCCGATGCCGGCCGTGCTCAAACCTGTTGCCCAGTGGACGGGGAAGCAGCTCATTTCGCAAGTATTGCCGCCAGGTCTCAACGTTTCTGGGTTTCATGCTGCGCACATCGATGGCGAGCGCGACAATCTCTCCGACACACAGGTACGTTTGCACACACACACACACACAAAATTTCGGCTCCATTTACGTTGTCTTTGCTCGATGCATTGTGTTTACCCTGTGCTTATCCACAACTCTGTAGGTGCTGATTGAGGATGGGCAATTGCTGACAGGAATTTTGTGCAAGCGTACCGTGGGTACGGCGGCTGGTGGACTGATCCACGTGCTTGTCAACGATGGCCATTGCTGGAGCGGTGGCGAGCCAGCAGCCTGTGCTTTTTTCGGCAGCTTGCAACGCCTAGTGACTCATTGGCTACTAGAAAACGGGTTCTCCATCGGCATCGGAGACACGGTCGCCGATGCAGCCACCATGGCTACCATAACAGAAACGATTCGCACAGCAAAACGAAATGTCTCGGCAATTATTTCGCGGGCGCAGGCGGGGCGGCTCACGACGCTCCCCGGTATGACGGGGCGTTCCACGTTCGAGCACGAAATTTGCAAGGAATTAAATAGGGCGCGCGATCACTCTGGTGCGTCGGCTCAGCGCTTCTTACGCGAACAAAACAACGTCAAACAGATGGTGGTCGCTGGCTCAAAAGGCACCTTCATCAATCTTTCGCAAATGACTGCGTGTGTGGGGCAACAAACGGTAGAGGGCTCACGCATTCCGATGAGCTTTGGCGGTGGCGGCGGCGCCTCGCGCACGCTGCCACATTTTCTCAAATCGGACGATGGGCCTGAATCGCGCGGCTTTGTGGAAAACTCGTATTTGCGCGGGCTGACGCCACAAGAGTTCTTCTTTCATGCGATGGGAGGACGTGAAGGGCTTATCGATACTGCCGTCAAAACTGCCGAGACAGGCTACATTCAACGGCGGCTTGTAAAAGCGCTAGAGGATCTTACTGTCGCATATGATGGCACTGTGCGCAACGGTCTCGGGCAAGTTGTCCAATTCGCATACGGCGATGACGGCATGGATGCCCAAGCCCTTGAGCGCATCAACGTTGCTGCTTTAGTAGGTGGTGCACCTACCGGTGGAGTTACCGTTCCCACCCACACGGGTGCGTATCCATCCTATGCGTCATTATTGGAGGCAGAGCAGCGGGGCTTGGCAGCAGCAGCACTAGCTTTTCCGCGCACTGGGCTTGTGGAATTGCAGGCACTACCTGTCAACATTTCGCGCCTACTTTGGAACGCTCGCATTCGGTTTCATTTGGGCACAGGAGGCGCCAATGTTCAGCCCGTTGACTCGCGCCATGCTCTGGTTGCTGTTGCATCTCTTGTGGATCGTCTCAAGTCCACGGTAATCCCAGGAGGGGCAAGTTTTCCTTCCTCTTCAATCATTACCCCGCATTTGCTGGTGATGACGCCTCTTGAGGCGGCAGTGCGTATGGGACTGTCGCTAGCGCAGATCACTGCACATCGATTAACGCGCGAGGCTTTTGATTGGGTTGTAGGAGAGGTTGAGGCCCGCGTGCGCAAAGCGCATGTAGCCCCAGGAGAAATGGTTGGTGTCATTGCCGCACAATCGATTGGCGAGCCTGCAACACAAATGACGCTAAACACGTTCCACTTGGCAGGTGTCTCGCATGGCCAGTTGACACATGGTGTGCCGCGGCTTAAGGAGCTCATCAACGCTGCTGTAAATACACGCACGCCTTCACTGACCATCCGACCTGCAATCAATCGGACTAGTGGGTCTGCAGAATCTTCTCCCCTAGAGATCGCTAAAGAAGTCGCCGCATTGCTCGAAGCAACGCCCCTGCGCGCACTGACAGCGTATACACAGGTCATCTATGACCCGGCTGTGGAGAGCACAGTTGTGGCTGAGGATTCAGATCTTGTCGAGGCATACTTTGCATTACCCGATGCTGCCTTACTGGAGGCATCGCAGCGGGCTTCTCCATGGATATTGCGGTTAGTGCTAGACCGTGCTAGCATGTTGGATCACGGCGTCACCATTGGTGATATAGCACGAGCACTCGGGGATGCCTACGGCCAAGACTTGCTTATTTTGCATGCTGACGAGAATGCAGACCATCCCGTAGTACGTTGCCGAGTTATTCGTCCAGAAGCTATGGATACTGATGGAAACACTGACGATTTACTGGCGGACGATTCATGCGCTGAGGATCTCTTTCTGCGGCGTGTCGAAGCAAATATGATGGAGAGTATTTGGCTCAAAGGCATTCCAGGCATCAACCGTGTATTTATTGTGGAGCGAGCTGCGGGGGCCACCGCTGCAACCGTTGAACTGCAGACAGCAGGTGCTGGTGGCCTAGGTGCGCTCTTTGGGCATGCTCCTGTGCTCGATGCAATCGACTGCTCACGCACACTTTCAAATTCGGTGCCTGAAATTGCGACGGTACTGGGAATCGAGGCTGCACGTGCCGCATTGCTTAATGAGTTGCGGGATGTGATTGAGACCGGCGGCTCATACGTCAATGGGCGGCATCTCTCGCTGTTGGCCGATATCATGACGCGTCGAGGGATTGTGACGGGTATCACACGCCACGGTACCAACAGAGACGATCATGGCGCACTGATGCGGTGTTCCTTCGAGGAGACTGTAGAGATCTTGATGGAAGCCGGAGCGTCCGGTGAGCTCAATCCCGTTGGATCCTCGCTTTCCGAGTCGGTGATGATGGGGCAAATGGCGCCCATTGGGACTGGATCATTTGACCTGCTGCTTGATGAGGACCGACTTGCAATGGGCGCTCTTGTACCGGCACTTTCTGCGACAGCATACTCTATGGTTGCTGCGCAAGCGACAAACATGATGTCCACAGTGTCTGGTTCAGCCACGCCAGGGTCACTTGGCTTTCGCTCGCCATGGGTGCAGACTGGAGCTGGATCTTCGCCACAGCCGTACCTGAAAGGATCGCGCTCGCCTACGTTCCGCTCTTCTGGAGATGGATATCGCACACCGGGTGACATTGGCTTTTCTCCTTTTTCTACATCCAGCGGCTTTTCCTCCGGCTCGTCCCCGTCATGGTGGGGCGGTCGCTCGCCTGCTGCTCTTGTGGGAAGGTTTTCGCCTACCTCGCCAGGATATAGCCCGACGTCGCCTGGGTACAGCCCAACGTCTCCGGGGTACAGCCCAACATCTCCGGGGTACAGCCCAACATCTCCGGGGTACAGTCCAACTAGTCCTAGTTATAGCCCAACTAGTCCAAGTTATAGCCCAACTAGTCCTAGCTACAGCCCTACCAGCCCGAGTTACAGTCCGACTAGCCCTAGCTACAGTCCGACTAGTCCAAGTTACAGTCCAACTAGTCCAAGTTACAGTCCGACTAGTCCAAGTTACAGCCCGACTAGTCCAAGTTACAGCCCGACTAGCCCTAGCTATTCACCCACTAGTCCTAGCTACAGTCCGACTAGCCCTAGCTATTCACCCACTAGCCCAAGTTACAGTCCTACTAGTCCTAGCTACAGCCCTACCAGCCCAAGTTACAGTCCTACTAGCCCAAAATATTCGCCATCCTCACCAAGGCCTGGCGCCTTTTCTCAGACAGCCTTCTCACCCAAGTCTCCCGGATACTCTCCCTCGCTCTCTTCTTCCGGCCAGCGGCACAAGAAGTGATCAATAAATGGATAATTCTGATCTTTTCTAATTTCATCAACTAAATTTAGCCAGTTTAGTGGCGGTCATGCTTAGTAAAGTAGCGCATTGAATGGGAGTTTCCAAAATTTTCCGGTTTTATTTAAATGATTTACCTGGCTCGGCGGCTATTTGGCTTGGCTGCCTTTGGCCGTGGCAGCCCTATGCGTCTAGAAGCACTCCCCCATTATGCAGAGAGTGTGCTACGGCCTTCTGGCCATGGCCAATTGCCACTTCTCACCAGCCTCTACCAGGCGGAGGGTTTTGGGAGCCCTTCGCCATGGCTAATGCCCATGGCTGGAAGTAGCCCCGCCCCTCTTGCTAGCAAGTCTGAAAGACGTATCAAAGCAGTGGTCGACGGCAGTAAATGGCAATTCTGTACACTGGGTGTCTGGTTGCCTGGATGTTCTGTGGCAAGCGAGCGGCCTGGCGAGGCTGGCTACTCTGCACTGTTTGCCCGCCTAGCACAAACATGCACAGCTAAATCGGGAGCTACTGAGTGGAACAATCGGTGTTCTCTTGCTCTTGCTTCGTCACTCCATGTGGTGCCATCGCGTGACGGGCTCTTCATGGGCTGCCTCGTTGCACCTGAAAAGCTTCCTGAGGCTCTCGATGCGCTCATGGAGGCCGTCCTTTTTCCGGCTCTCGAACCTTCAACGGCAGATCAGAAGCTTTTGACCGAAACGCGCGACATCGAAATGCGGCGAATGGTTGAGGAAACACCGGACGTCTTTATGCAGGAGCTGCTCTACTTGCAGATGTTCTCTGCAAAGGGGTTAGTAGGATGGTTTTTGTTCTTTTTCCTCCCTTTACGTGGTAAATTTGTCATTTCCGTTGTTTACGCCCACTTGCATGCCCTTTCAATCCGGTTTTAACATTTAGATTGGGAAATTCAATCTTGGCACAAGGTGAAGCGGCCACACAATCTTATGGAAGCTTTTGTGCCAAGGCAACGACAGGAATGGTTGTCGGGCTCTCCGGCGGCCATTTCTCCGCAGATGACTTTGCGCAGATGCTGAGCGAACGCTCTGGCGGTCTTGAGGTTGTTCTTGGTGGGAAGGAACATCCTGTTGCCCCAATTGAATCTGTTGGCTCTGGACCGTTATTTATTGAGGATTCGTGTTTTGGGGAGAGCTTTGCACTTGCCTCGGCCAATCGCTGGCACGGCAAAACACACTTTATCATCGGCTGGCCCACAGGCCCATCTTCCTGCATCCGCCAGGCAACAGTCCCACAAGCCCTTACAGCTGCAATGCTTGGCGGCGGCTCTGCCTTTTCTGCTGGAGGCCCCGGAAAAGGTCTCTATTCGCGCCTTTACTGCGAGCTGCTTAATCGCTATGCATGGATTGAGGATGCACATTGCATGTTCCAGTCGCACAGCACTGCTGGTTGGCTCGGCATATATCTAGCCGTTGAGCAGCGCTGGGAGCCTGCCGCTGTGGAAATCGCCATCCGCCAGCTTGTGCGCCTTCATTGTGCCGTTGATGACGTCCAATGGCGCCGATCAAAGAACCGATTGAAATCGATGCTATTAATGGGTATTGAGTCGAGACTTGCCCATCTTGAGGCACTCCTCAGGGCGCGTATGACGCTTTCCCCAGAAACGCACTTTCCTGATGGTCTTCTCCACTCAATTGACGCCTTTTCTTTAGCCGATCTCCGACAATTTCGCGACCGGTTGCTTGGAAAAGGACGCATGTTGCCTACTCTCGCTGCTGCTGGCGAGGACCTTTCTGCTTTCCCCACTTTCTCGGACTCTCTTGGCATGCTCGAGGCTGCACTTGCCAGGGCTTGATATCGCAAATAAACTAACACACACGCTTGCAATGGCAAAAGTGACATATGAATTTATTTTCAAAGACGCGATGTGGCAGGCTCGAGAGCAATAACCGCGGCTGCACCCATGCCCGTGCCTATGCACATGCTAATTACGCCATAGCGTGCGCCTTGGCGCCGCATTTCTGGCAGCAATGTTGCCATTTGGCGTGCGCCCGTTGCGCCCAATGGGTGGCCAAATGCGATAGCCCCACCTTTTGGGTTTACTCTCTCTGGGTCTATCTTGAGCTCGCGGATGCAGTAGAGGATCTGAGAGGCAAATGCCTCATTGATTTCAAAGATTCCGATATCTTGTAGCGTTAGCGAGGCCCGCTTAACGGCAACCGGAATTGCGTACGCTGGTCCGACGCCCATCACTCGTGGAGGGACGCCCACGACTGCGTACGAACAAAAGCGTGCCAAAATGACAAGGCCTAGTGCGCGAGCAGTCGAGCGACGCGCCAAAAGTACCGCTGCCGCACCATCTGTGATCTGGGATGAATTTCCTGCTGTTGCTGTGCCCAAAGGCGGAGGCCTGAATGCCGGTTTCAATGCAGAGAGCGATTCGATCGTTGCCTGCAGACGGATCCCGTCATCATCCGTGACATTGTCGATGGGTATGATCTCTTCTGCAAAAAGCCCTTGTTGTTGCGCACGGGCTGCCTTTTGGTGTGAACAGAGCGAAAACCGATCCTGAGCTTGCCTATCGACGCCAAAGCTTTCTGCAACAATCTCTGCAGTTTCGCCCATCGGCATCAAGCAATCAGAGGCCTGATCGCAGCTATTCATCACGTCTGTGGAGAAGGAAAGCGAAGAAAAATCGCCATAGTTTCTGCTCATCGATTCCATGCCTGCGCCAATCCCAATGTCAATCTGGCCACTGGTGATGGAAGACGCAATTGCAGCGATCGCCTGAAGTCCAGAAGAACACTGTCTATTGACCGTCATAATGCTGCATGTTTCCGGGAAGCCGGCGGAAAATGCTGCCATACGTGCTGCAGTTGCACCGCCCCCTGGTGTAAGCACAGTACCTACGGCGATGTCCTGGATAGCGTTCGGATTGATCCCTGTTTTCCGCACGAGCCCCTTAAGAGCAGCAGCAAGCAAATCCTCTGGGTGGAGCTCTTTAAATTTTCCCTTGTATGCTCGCTGAAGCGGCGTTCTCACGGCTCCACAAATAACAACGTCATTGTCGCTGGCAATTGGCATCGGAAAATTGCAGCGATCGAAATGGCATCATCGACAAATCAAACCTTCTAAATCAATAGGCAGATGTGTGATCTGCGCACTAATTGGGAAATAAATTTATCAAATTAAATTTTAAATGCCACGTTTTCAATGGGAGAGAGGCAAGGGATTTATGCTTTGGACCTGTTGAGCGCCAAATGAGCCTCCGTGAGGGTACCCTGTATGAGCGATGCCATGAGGGAAAGTTCTGCAGCCAAAACGGTTGCACAAATTATTTTTGCAAGGCTGCGAGCATTTTCTCCGTATGAGAGATGCTGCGGCGTTGGACCCGCTATCCCCATCATTTCAAGTGCAGCTTGTTGTGGACGAAGATGAGTGCCGCCGCCTATTGTCCCAACCTCCAAGGAAGGCATGGTGCAGCAAATCTTTAGTGAGCCATTGGGAAGCTTCTCCATTTCCGTAAGGCAGGATGAGGAAACCACTGCCTGGGCCGGATCCTGTCCTGTCGCTATGAAAATGGCACTGACAATGTTGGCTGCCTGAGCATTAAAACCTCCCATTGCACCTGCCAATGCCGAGCCCTGCGTATGTCAGCAATTTGTAGAAGATGGAAATTTGGTATTAAAAGCAAATGGTGTTATCAGGGGAGTGTGAAAGCGATGATGAGGAATCAGACTAACCTTGAAGTTTTTTTTGATAGACGCATCGACCAAGTCTGCCACATCGACATGCAACACGGTTTCGACAACCGATGCAGGAATTGTTGCCAGTGCGACGACCGATTTACCACGGCCATCGATCCAATTCAACGCCGCTGCCTTCTTGTCTGTGCAGTAATTTCCGGAAAGCGAGATGATTTTCATTTTTGGGAACTTTTCTTTCAGAGTGATAAGGACTTGTTCGCAGCCCTTCGAAAGCATGTTCATACCCATCGCATCGCCAGTGGTGGCTTTGAAGCGGAGGAAAAGGTCCGTCCCACAAATTGTAGCGTCGATCTATGGTCAGGAAATGCAGTATCAAAGACATGCACGAATGCAAAGGAAATCGACGAGGACAAAACAGGCTTGATGGCAAATGCTTACCTTGGCGAGTTTGGCATAGGAGGAGGTTGCATTGAACGTACTCTCAATGAGAGCAAAATTTTCCTGCATCGCAATCCAGCTCTTCAAAGCAATTGCATCAGACAACTCTTCAAAATGGACGATAGGTGCACGGGTCATCCCATCTGCGTGAACATAAGTTTGCACGCCAGTGCCGCCAGCCTTCATGATTGCCTTGAAGCCGCGTTGTGTGGATGCCACCAAGGCCCCTTCTGTTGTGGCCATGGGAATTGTAAACTCCTTGCCATCAATGATTGCCCCAGTGACAGCACCAACCGGTAGCGGTACGTATCCGATCACATTTTCACAGCATCGTCCATAAACAGAAGAATAGTGCATGTCAGAAGCCCACGGAATGTCCACAACGCCAAGGAGGGCTCGTCTAATCTCCACTGCCTTGCGAAGTTTGTCTTCAGTATCGATGCCTGTTATCCTCTGTTCAATTGCATGTAAAGGGATGTTCTTATTTGTGATCTCGTCACATGCGTGAACAAGTTCTGGCTTGGCATCGCCTAGTGCAATGGTCTCTTGGCCCCCCTCTTTTTCTTCCATTGTCATGGAAGAAAAATCAAATTTTATTGACAGAGCTAGAATTTGCTGAGCAGCTAAAATCTCAAAATTTGCCGAGCATTTAAAATCCCAAAATTTGCCATTCTTTAATTTTACAACTGTTAGTAAGTGCAGTGTATGGACCTCAACCTACGTGTCCTACAGCGCTATGACGCTGGGGCTAAACGAATCGTGGCCATGAGCGAGCATGTTTCCGCCCACTCATTTGAAGCAGGCGAATGGACCAGTCTGAACTACGAAGGCCCGCTCTTTGTATATGAACGTGTGAGCGGAGATCATGGATATATTCTTATGAATAGAAGAGCGTGGACCAACATGATTGGAAGAATAACCAGAACACAGACATTGACCGTGCAAGATGAAAATTTCCTTGTTTACAGCGAAGGGCGAACAGGTGCGAAATACTTCTGTAATACCGTGGCATAGGGCAGATTATAGGACTTTATTTCCATCGCCTCGGTCTGGAGAAAACGCGTGTAAGAGATGTGTGGGTGACAGCGATACGCGAAGCCATCTCACATTCTCATAATAAACGAGACTAGTCTGCCACAATATACAATCAATCATAACACCATTAAGAGTCGCTACAGAGCAAAGCTAGAGGGTTCACTCAGAGGCGCTCGTATGTGATGCTGCCATCCGACCAATGAACCTGGACATAGTAGCGCCCATTTTCGTCAGTGGTAAGATCACAGATGATCTGCTTCGAAACAGGGTGAGGTCTGGCGGCTCTTTGAAATGGGAATGGCGCGCGTCCTCGCATGTGAAAGAATTCCCCAAAGATATCTTCGAATGAGAAAAAATCTGAAAACAAGCGACTGTGCACAGAAGAAAAATGTGATGGTTGATGATGGTGGCGCGTCCAGCTGGAGGGTGGCAATCTTACGGTAGGTTGGCGCAGTGTTTCATCGTATGCTCGCCGTTTTTCCTCTATCACAAAAGATATGGAACGCCATACCATCAGAGAGAATGGAATAGGCCTCTGTGCTCTGCTTGAACATTTGATCGCTCGCTCCAGGCTCCTGTTTGTCTGGGTGCCATTGCAATGCCAATGTCTTGTACCTAGGGGGAGTCACTGCATCAATAAATACGCGCGTCGGATTTCCGCAATGGTGGCTGATGGAGACACACCCAATGTGGTATAGTGAGTTTTCCGTGGCTCCACCCGACGGAGGTTGGGATCACCAGACATTCTCAATTAAAAACGCAGAATAAATTTATCATTTGCCGGTGGCCATTCAAGTGTTTCCACCGGCAACTCCAAAAAACCGATTGCCGTTCGCCAAACTCTAAAGTTGCTAATTTTATTAACTTGGGCACGTGCGGCAGTATGATAAAGGCTGGCTTTCTGTATTCACGTCTCTGAGCCCATGAACCCTTGCGCCCACACCAGAGCTAGAGCCGAGCCGTTCGCTTTTGGAAGAGGATCTCCAGCCCTCATGTTCGCCGGAGCTTCTTGGTTGGTCCTCAACTGCATAGAATGGCGCTACAAGTAGCTTCAAACTATTCGTCAGTTATATCAATCCCACTAGTAAAGCGCAAATTGGCCCGATTCCCTGATTCTGTCCATGCTCAGGTAGTACAAAGTTTCAAATTTAAGTGAAAAGTTTAAAATTTATGTCGATCTCGCCAAACAGCCAGAGGCGTTTACTTGGATGATGCGCAAGTATCTTTTCGTGCAACACACGGGGGCATGTGAAGATGCCATCGCAATTATGACAAGAAATTTGTACACCTTGTTTTGCATCGAATTTCAAGGCTATACAGATCAAGAATGAAGCGTTGAGATCAATCAAATTTTCGCTCAAATAAAAGAGCATCCAAAACAACAAAGGCCATTGCATTCCCGGTTATTAAGGTAATGAATCCCGAAGGCGAAGGACGTTAAACTCTGGGTTTGGTACGGCGGAAATTTCTGCAAAATTTCTCCCCAACCCGATTGGTTTCTAAGCAGTTTAGCAATAGGTGGCCAGTCAATTTTGTCGATTAATCCCACATCTGTTCCCATCATTGCGTCGATCAATAAAAATTGCTATTTAAACTCAGAGAGCGTTTATTAAACCCAGGTGTATAGGCGCTCATAAGGTGACCGCTAGATACTTTCTTTGCTTGTTGGTCAGATTAGCCAAACCATAGCTGATGCCAACCGGCACTTCCCTTGCAACACTCGCGGTGCTTACCGAGCAGACAGGCGGCATCGATAAAATCTTTCGCACAGCCATCTATTCGATCCGACTTTTCGCTGCACTAACGGGTCGGGAAATTTTGCCCCTCCTTAAATTGGCAGACGTTCTTTCAGAAACTAGATATGTTCTTCGGATTTTCGGCTCCATCTTCAGCATCAAAGATCTTTTTCAAGCAAATTTAAAGAAAAGGGAACTAATCAAAGCGCTCACAATGGCCGTTTACTACCCATTAGATGCGCTTTACCTCCTTGCCTTCAAGGAGATAATCTCAATTAACCCCAAGCATCAGCTGGAAATTTCGCAGTGGAGCTGCCGTGCATGGGCCCTATATTCGATTGTGGAGCTAAGCGAACTGCTTGGTCTTTGGGAACAGGGCCGCTCTCCAGTCCTTGCAATCGTCCAGTCAGCTGCAGATATGCTCCTTGCACTCAATTGGTCGTGGGATAGATTTGCCCTGTCTTCGCCAGCCGTTGCCGGAATTGGTACCATATCTGCGTCTCTGTCTCTTGCATCTGCGGTCAGCACAGCCAATAAAGGGTCTACATAAACGCTTGACTTTCGATAAAATCGAATTAAAAAGCTATATGATTTCTAAACTGAAAATAGCATTTATTGGATACTCAGAATAATGATAGATATAAGCGTTAAATGTTGTTTTGTCTTGAATGAAGCATGATAACTTGGTAGAGAAACTCTGACACCAATGCAAGCACTGCGGGGATCACAATAACAAAGAAGCTTTTCGGATTGAGAGAGAAAGAGGATGTAGCGGAATTATTGGGCTCGGAGTTTTTTGTTCCCTTTTCTTTCTTTTCTGCTTCTGTTTTGGAGTCTTCTGTTCCGGTCAAAAGAGTGATTAGAGACATTATCAAAGTGCTCAAGGATCCAAAAAGCGATGTAATACCAACGATTCCAGAGCGAATCCCGTTGATCTGCGCAGGTTCATCTAAACTTTGTGACATATCTTTGATAAAAGTTGAGAGAAACGCCATTTGATAAAATGTAATGGCTACTTGAGCGGATCCGGCAAAAGTCCCGATTAGTGGCATGTCACCATATTTGTTTTTGCCGCTGAGAAGGCATAAATAAGATATAAAGGCAAAGATGAGTCCAAGAAATCCAGTGAAAATATATTGGATAAAAGGCCTCTCCTCTTTAGCGATGCATGGAAATTTCGAGACACATCCCTGAATTACACACATGAAAAAAAAATACCAAAAAGACATAGCAACTTGACCAATTCCATGAAACCTCATAAATGCTGAATAAACGTTCTTTGGAATGCACAACTTGACAAATGCATATGGAGCAAGCGAGGTTGTCCTAGCGACCCATGCCAATGATATTAAAGCAAATATCCCAAGATACTTGGTCAAGGATCCTTTTCGAAAAAAAAAATTCATTGAATACTCGGCATTTTCTTTAAGTGCGATGCAAATAGATTCAGTTGACGCTGTATTTGTTAGCTTTTTTTTCATGGAAGCCAAAAGAATAAGTGAAACAGGAATGGCCTGTGAGACTGCAAGAATGCCGTACGAAACGTAAAAGTCATTTATCTTTGACATGCCCAATGAAGAAGAAATAGCAGCAACTATACAAATAAAGCCATAAACAGCGCTCCCACGGCCTATTTTTTCGGTATCTTTTCCAAAGATATGGTGAAGGGTGGAGAAGACACAAGCAAGGCTTGGCGTATTACCAATAGAATAGATTGCACGTATTGTGTATATTACATAGATGCTAGAAGGCTTTCTAGATTCCTGTATCAACATCAAAAAATAAGATATATATGACATGGTGGTGATTATAAAGGCCATAAGGAGGACATTATGGATGTTTAAAGCGTCCAAAAAAAACGTACAAAGAATACCCATTATCAATGAGACGAATTCGTCGATTAAAATCGCCGTTGAAGCAGACTTTTCTGCGTTTTTATCTCCAGTTGTTTTTTTGATGAGCTCAACCATGCTAGAGTTGATAAAGACAGATGAAAAAATTGCTGAAAATGCACAGGAGCCGTACACTATGAACTCAATTGCGTTGTTTGAAATTATTCCAAAACATTTATGGTGAGAAACGGAGATATGTTCGACTGCAGACATCAGGATAAGGCTAAAATGTCAAGATACGCAAATGGGAAAAATTATCTCGCACTGTAAGTTGTGAAAAAGTTACCAATGTTGCCAAAAATAGCAAGCATTTTAAAATTGCAAGAGCCAAGGCTCCAAGTACCCTTCAATTTTGGGTGGAATCTTAATTGCCCCACGCCTGAATTAACTTTATCTTGGCCTTGTACGGCCAGGCTGCTACAAAAGGAACAAATATCAAGATGTTTATTCATCAACCTCCATAAGGGGGACCGATGGCGGCTGTAATTGTACATCGGACCTTGGCAGCAGGCCAGAGATATTCCATGTAAATGAAGACGGGGCAACTCTCCAGTCCTCAATGCAAACCAAATGCGTTCCAGACGCATTAACAAGGCGTAGCTCTAGTTTAGGCATTTGAACAATGAATCTCGTTTGCAATTCGTGTACAATATTTGCAACCAATCGTATAGCGTCAGAAGGCGTAAGATCTGGAGAATATTGAGCATCTAAAAGCCCCAAACAGAAATATGCGCCATATCCGTGCACAGCAAATGGAAGCGCCTGCAGCGATCCCAAATGGTCCAGCCAAAAAAGATCGCCACAATTACTCTTATCACCATTGGCGTCCAGATTAATTCCAGCAATCAGTAAATTTACACCATAGGGAGATCGCGTACGAAGAGATTTTGAAATCATCGTTCTACTGATATGAGCTGCTTCGGACGGGTTCCAATGACGACCGCCCATACGCAAGGCTGCTAGATTCGACTCGGCAACCAATCTCTCCTTGAGACGATCGGCCTCTCCGGATTCTCCTACGCACGAAAGAAGTAGGGTTGGCGAGAGCGGGGTAAATTTGGATTTTTCAGACGAAAGAACCATTATGGATCTAATGGAAAGGAGGTCTGATGCCAGTAAGACGAAATCACGGCCTCTGATACCAAGCAGAAACTCCATGGTTTGATTGCGGGAATCAAAATTAAAATTTAATTGAAATTTATAAAATCTGCTCCCGGAAATATGGCTGGAACTTGTTCTGGTTCACGGATACCTTTAGCATTTTCCTGGAGAGGGATTGTACAAATTTCCTCTGGTCTTTTATGCTTTGTTGGTCCGATGCAATTGGGAGCGGCTTATATTCCTTCGCTAAAGTACGGCCTCGAGCAGTCTCGATTTGGCCCGATTCAGATGTTTCTGATGAATCTCGTAGGTATTGCGAATAATAGCGACGATATTTTCGATGTCCAACCCTGCGACCAGAGGGCAATTCCATTTCATACTCATCTTTCCTAAAAAATTAGGGCAAACCAAAACCATACGTTTCCTCAAGCTCATTTGAAATTCCAAACAATTGCAGCTGATTTTGGCCATTTTCRTCGCCCAGTTCTTCATCAAGGTCTTCAAATTCATCCTCGTCAAATACATAAAACCGGGAAATGTCCTCAAGATCGTCTCCAAGCATTGTATGGCCCTTGTCAATCATGTGCTTTCGCAGGGCTTCAACGGATCTGTACCGTTTTTCTGGGTGGCAACACAGGCATGTTCTGTAGAAATTAATTTTCTCTGCCAAGTGAGACACCAGTCCCTCAAAATCGAAAATATTTTCTACTTGGGGAATGAAAAAGCAATGCATTTCAACCATATGATCCAAATTGTCCCGGACATCCTTGAAGCTCGATGTACAAAACAAACAGCCGGAAGGCAAAATAAGATTTGAAAATTGAGCTCTAAGATCTTGCATTACGGTATCCGTAATGTCTGGAAACTCTGCAAAGAGTTGCTCAAACGTCGAGATGGATAATGATTCCATTTTCTTGATGATGGCATTTTCAAAAGGAGTTTGTTCAGCCTCAATGATCTCGCCATGCTTTCCACTTCGTAAGTGGTTGTTTAGTCCTTTAGATGATGGGAATAAGCATCTAAAAATAACTGCAAATTAAGATACTCGCAAAATTGGCACGCAACACCTTTGGAAACCGGAGGACTCGACGAAGACAGCTGCGAAACCTGTAGTCGTTGGTGATACTCTTCAGATGACAAGGGTGGAAGAGAGGATATTTTGCGATGCAAATTATATTTGTGCCATTCTGTTCGGTAATGGTCTTTTAACAACGCAGAGTCCTCAAGAGGGATCTTGCAAGTTAGACAGACAAGTGCTGGCATAAAAAAAAATTAATATTAAAAATTTGACAAGAAAGGGATTCGAACCCTTGCCCACTTGCGTAGATCAGGACCTGAACCTGACGTCTTAGACCACTCGACCATCTTGCCGTTGTTTGGGGCACCAAATAAAAATATACAAATTCTAATTTATTAGCTCTGCTCAAAATGGCGTATTTAATCTGTAATTGATCAATGCATTTAGGCTCCTAACCTTATTCATTTCGGCATCGAAACTAACGTGCCCATGGGCTTTTGTTTATTTTTGAAATTCCAAATAAAATTTCCCCGATGCTTCTATTGCTCTTCTTCTTTTTGCTGCATCCTTTCCTCTATTCCGTGTTTTCTCAGACTATCGAAATCGATTTAGCAGATAGAGGAGCTGATGTGCCATTCTCAAAGTTTTATGTCCTTCAAAACGGCACGCACACTCTTCAAAATCCAGTTGAGGAATCCACGAAATCCTCTGCCTTTTCACCATTGACTTTGCCGCTCTCCGATCTTCAACAGTACACCCTTCAGAAAGATCCGGAAGAATGGGTTGATGTTTCTGGAGGAAATTCCATGCTAATCGATAAAATTTCAAAGGATCCTTCTTATGAAAGACTCTTCAATATGGATCTTGATATTATTTCGGACCATTCTGGAACAGATGCCATATTTAATTGGGGCGATCCTGATTATCGAACTGCAGAAAACTGCTTTATCATCGGTCTGCATTCTGGAGCTGAGCAGGATGTTATTTCATTGCTAAGCAAATCGCTTGAAGTTTTTAATGGAAGCACCACGGACACTTTACTTCATTCTGTGAAAGGAACCTTCTCCTGCTTTCCGGAGAAGATTCTACCTTTAACTCTGCTCACTAAAATTCCTTGGCTCAAACTTGTTGAGAGAGATTCGGTTTTTAGCTCCTCGCAAATCCAAAGCAATGCACCCTGGGGCCTCTCTAGGATTTCAAACCCGGCGTTGCCGATTTCCGGAAAGTTTGGATTCCAATACACGGGATCAGGCGTGGATGTGTTTGTGATGGATTCTGGCATCAACACACGACACCAAGGTAGGCGTATGCGATTAACTTGAAAATTAGAATTCGGCGGGCGTGCTAAAATCATAAAGTCCTTTTATCCGGGATCCTCTGACGATTGTGCTGGACATGGTACAGAAACTTCTTCCGTGATTGCGGGGACCACGGTCGGGGTGGYCAAACTTGCAAATATAAAGGCGATAAAAGTCCTTGATTGTTCGGGAAATGGAAAAAATTCGGATCTTATCCGTGGACTTGACTACATTTTGAATGACAGAGGCACTTCTGTCGATGGGTTTTTTTCGTTTGGAGAAACCAAAAGGCCTGCGGTTATTAATATGAGTCTTGGAGGAAATAATAGATCTGTTGCTCTTGATTCCGCAATAGCTGCTGTTGTCGAGCAGGGAATTCCGGTTGTCGTTGCTGCTGGCAATGAGGACACCGATGCATGTTCCAAAAGCCCAGCCGGGAATCCATTTGTGCTGACCGTGGGTGCCTCATCTTCAAACGATCAAAGGTCTTCATACTCAAACTACGGAACATGTGTAAATCTATTTGCGCCGGGCGACAAGATCATGGCTGCCTCCAACATCGGGCAAGCGGATTACTCTACACCGTCGGGGACATCTCTCTCTGCCCCCTTTGTTACTGGGATTGTAGCTCAAATTTTACAAAAAAACCCCAACCAACCTGCTACCGATGTTTATAACCAGGTGTTACGATTAGCGGCTTCCGGGAAATTGGTAGAGCATTCGCTTGGCCCAGAATCMCCAAATGTCATAGCTCAAGCGATGGGTTATGACCCCAATGATCCCACGCAGTATGTCAATTTTGACCTTTCGGTCTCATCAGGCACGATGACCTCGCCTGCTCAGTCTCTTTTCCCCTTCTTTATATGTCTTATATTGGTCCTGTGGTGAAATTAAACTATTTGTTTAACCCCCAGTCGCCTTTACACAATAGGTAGATAACTGGCTGCATGTGAAAAACACGCAATAGGTGGACACATAGGTGGACACATAGGTAGACACATAGGTAGATAATTGGCCACATGCAAGTATACTCGTCTCGATAATAAAAACAATTACAAAAGAATTTATTGCTAAATAGATCTCAAGAAGAAAGAGCACACCCTATCGGTTGTGGGATGTGTAACGTTATGGGTAAGATCAAAAGAATGCCTATCTGAGAAGGAATCCCTTTGGAATTCGCGGCAATCTGAAAGGGTTAAATACAAGAACCTCGATCCGGCACCGTTTTTTTGAGTATCGTTGGAAAATAACGGGATTGGCGACGAGGAAAGCAGACGCTGATCCAAGAACCTCCTGCCTATATACTGATGTCTGTATATGGATCGCCTAACATTGTCTTATCCGCTAAAGATATGCTTTGCAGACAAAAATTCTTTTCCACAAAAATACTTTCCATAAAGACTATGAGGGGCTGGAGGTTTGAGTTGAGCGTTCATAACTTGAAAAAAATTAAATTTATTATGGAACCTAACCCGCTCGTCCGGGCTTTTTATTCTAGCATTCGAGCGAAAAGGCTTCCAATAGGAAGCGTAAGGTGGTATCGTTTTCATTTAGGGTAGAAAGTGGAGCTTCCAACTTTATCTGCGCACGACGAAAAAACGAATGCCGAACATCGCCCATTCTCAGTCAAAACCGAGTCCGGGACCATGGATATTTTCAGTGCCACAAAATTTCCTCTTCACATGGCATACAAGGTGTCCCATCCAAAATGGCCTAACCTTAATAGAATACATATCTATTGTCGCAATTCATGTCACCCACAGGTCGGATTTTGGGGTCTGACATTAATGGTATGCCATCTAGGCTAACCGAAAATAGGGGTCAGCCGCGGAACACAACGAAAGCTCGCCCTTGCCATCAAAAGAGCAAGACATTTTGGGCTTTTGCCGTACCTCTCAAAAAAGGTGTTCCCCGGTAGCTACGTTTCTATGCGAAAAGAAAAGTAGAAATTAATATTTTTATAAATGATGCTATTGATGTTTGTTGTTTTGATCACGACGCTTTCCTTGGCAAAGGGACCTAGCATTCCAAAGCTATCTGAAATCATGCTCTGGGACGATCCCAAGTTGGATGAACAGTGGCACATTGTATCGACAATTATTGGTTGCCTAACGATGTAGTATCATCCGTATCGTCCATTTTTGCGAGATATAAATATCCTTCCAGTTTGGATGCGAGGTAACACATCACCAGTGGCTCAAAGAATAGGCATTTTTGGGCAGGACATTCAAATAACTTTGATCGACTATGCTGTCAATTGGGACCATCCTGATTTGGCTGGACACAAGTTTGTGGGGGACTTCGTACTTTCCTAGAATCGATAATTAGTGTTAGGAGGTTTTTGATCAGCAAAAAACGACATCATCAATTGATGAGATAGGCCAAAACCATGCAACCCGGTGTGCAGGCCAGATCGGCGCACTGCCAAATAATGGTGTATGTGGGGTTGGAATTGCACCTCTCTCTTCAATTTTCAGTTGCCTTTAAAATTGCTTACAAATTTGTGTAGATTTTCCGCTGCTCTCTTCAAACGATCCCTTGTCTGCGGTGGCGGCTGCGTTTTCCTTCAAAAATTCAGATATATATACATGCTCTTGGGGGCCTCCAGACGATGGAAAGTCCTTTGGTGGGCTGTCGCCTGACATCCTTCGCACAATCCTTTCTCAGATCACATACGGACGGTCTGGAAAAGGCTCCATTTATGTGGTGGCCGCTGGGAATGGCGGAATGTTTGGAGACCATTGCGGAGCCGATGGATTTGCCATCAATCCCTTTTTCGTTTCTGTTGGTGCAATTACGCACATGGACCGCCCTCCTGGGTATGCTGAAAGATGTCCGGCCATGAATGTTGTCACATATTCTTCTTCTGACATGTTTTCTAGTGCTAAAATCAAGAAAAAATCTATCTACTTTTCAGGAATAACAACCTCGGATGGCAACCTCGGCTGCACTGGATCCCACGGCGGCACAAGTGCAGCCGCGCCAATAGTTGCTGCCTCCATCGCACTTTTGCTTTCACAGAGACCAAATTTAGGTTGGCGAGATGTTCAAGCCCTTCTTATTGAGTCTTCTACCCCTTTAGGGGAGCACAAAAGCTACAATGAATATACGGCGTTTGGGAAGCTTAACGTAGAAAAGCTAGTGACAATTGGAGATTCATGGATCCCTCTCAACCCTCCTGTCTTTTCCTCCATATCTTCAAGTAACATAAGTATTGAGAACCAATCGGAGGCTTTGCTGGTTTACACGTTTTCTGTAAACCTCAATTTGAAAATTGAGAGAGTGCTTGCAAAGAGCAATGTGGCCTTTCTAGAGAGGGGATACATCGAAGTTTCTCTTGTTTCTCCCAAAGGGACAGAATCCTTTTTGCTTCGAGAGCGTCCACTGGACACATCACGGCCTCGCACTAGTGGCTTCAATTCTTTCGATGCCCCTTTGAAAGGGTGGGTTTTTTCTTCCCTGGCCTTTTTTAATGAAAAGTCTTTTGGAACATGGGAACTTCGAATCCGAAGCTCCAGATCTTTGGAGGACAGTGTCGATTTTTTTGCCACTACTGAAGCATGGTTAGGATTTATTTCAGAGTCCACAGAGACAAACCTATATGGCCAGGAGGTCAAATTTGCAAACCACATCTTTTCTTTTTATTTTCCCCATCATGATCTTGGAATCTTTTCGCCATTTGAGCGTATATGGATATTTCCCTTCATTCCATTGCTAAGTTTTTTGATCCTTGTAGCTCTTTTATGTTTATTAATCTTATTCAGCAGCAAAAGTTCATTTGGAGACATGGGGAACACATAAGAAAATATGAGCTTGTCCAACGTCAGCAAACACCATGCATACTTTATTCGTGTGGTAGCCTATTCGTTGGGAGAATCTGGGCAACCCGCAGCTGCTGTAGAAATGGGGCTGGATCTTTCGGTGATGGCCAGCCTAGACCGTCTTTTGGAACATCGCTTTCTGAGCCGTTTTTTGTCGGTTTTGGGGTCGTAAATAAACTCTTCATTTGCCACATCCCTGATATTAAGACAACAGAATGTAAAAATAAGAAACATCAACAGTAAAAATGTTATCGCCATAATCAAGACCTTAATATAGGTACTAGAGAGGGCAAGAGATGCCATGTTCAGCTCAAAGGCCGGCATATCCAAGTAATTAATGAATTGTATAAAAATGAAGAATTTTATTGGGCCACACAACTTTTCATTGGCTGCCATTTATTCTTACAAGAATGTAATTTTATTAAATTTGCATTGGTGGCAGGCAACCTTCATTTTTCAAAACAAATTATAATTCAAACTGATGTGCTCCAAAATTTGGCTGAGAAATTTGACCATTTGGCCAGTGTTTAATTTGATCCTTTCAAAAAATTAATTATTTAAAGAGCGTTAATTGATCTTTTTATGGCGCATCGCCAAGCCGACACTACGTCTCCTGATTGCAACGGCAAAAGCTCAACGCCGTTAACCTTGAGCGCCACCATGCCCAGTCATTTACAGAATATGCAATCGGCAACATTTGGTTCGATGCTTCCAGCTATTTTCAGAGTCAGATTATTTGACATGTTTATTTGTATTTGTAGAATCTTAAATATGAGATGGAAAACCTTGGAAACATCGCCTGCTTTGCGTTTGCATACAATTGCGGATTTCTCACCGCAGGAGTGACCGCAACAGCCGCCTTCATTAAATTTAGAAAAGATTCCAGGGTTTTTAAATATGCTTTAGCCGGATACTTTGTGGGCAATATCTTTGCCTGGTAGGCTTTTTTGCTCATGTTAGGAATATTTGCCGGATGCGGCATAAAATGTCAATCGAAACCGGGATATACACAATGAATAACATCAGAAATCAGACGATGGACGAGAATGGAAATCCGCGATTGGGATTGCCGCCGGGTATGCCTGCTGAAGTTAGACGTCAGGCATCCTCGGATTAAATTAATTTTTATTTGTAAATCAATGGAATGTTCTTTATTTAACTTTACCACTGAGAGGCTTGATAACCTTATACTTTCCCGGGGATGAAACCGGAGTCACTTCGATAGGAGGGGGTAGGGGATGCTTCCTTCTTGACGACAAATACGCCTCCAAAATAAGAGCCAAAAATACTATGAAAACAGAGGACCATTGCCCAGGTGTTAACGAATGTCCAAAATACAGCACAGAAAGCAAAATGGTGAACAACTTTCTTGTCACCGTGATGGTGACCAGAAGGATTGCGCCAAAGTTTCCAAGCGTCATAAATACAATTGCTTGTCCGACAGCCCCACACGTGCTGAATAGAAAAATATCGGGAAGAATAGACGGCCTAATGGCGATGAATTTAAGGGCACTTTTCAAATCATCCGACCATGGGGCCAAAAAAAGATACAAAACCATCAGAACGGTAGAGTTTCTGTTCAAGTAAAACATCATGTGGAATGGCGAAGGCTTATAGGTAGAAAAAACCTCGTCCTGCATCGAATTCATTAGTCCGTCCAGGAAGAGATTGATCAACAATAAGAGAACACCGAACACAATGGAAAAAGAGTCAAAATTAAATATCAGCGCCTGGTGGCCTGAAATTTCGGATCGATCCATCATTCGATGTGCAGACCTATCGCCCTTGGGTGCTTCGAAAAACAGAAAGCCAACAACTCCCATTGTGATGAGAAGCAGGTTGAAAAGCTTTCTCCTCTCAATGGACTCCCGCTTGACAAAAATTTTAATCAATACGAGCGGAAGAAGTTTACAAGCCTTTCCCAAATTCATTGCCACATAGTGGATGTATTTCAACGATGCATATGCAAAAGGCGAGGATACCGAATAAATGATTGAAAGCTTTAAATAAAGCCAAAAGAGCCTTCTATCGGGCGCTGGAAATCTCGAGTCAATGGTAGGAGCCACTGGATGGCCAGGTATGGAAGATATCAACGGCGAAGAGTCTTTACTAGAAGAGGAGCAAGACCCTCTTGAGGAGGAAGAGCGGCGATAATAATAAACTACACTTGACGATACGATCCATGAGGCGAGAGCCTGCGACAAGTTCAAAAAGATGAATGACGAAAATTTGTCCGCAGAATTGTCCATGTCATTTGCATCGATCTTGGTAACTGCAAGAAGCAGCTGGTGGACTTGCGTAAACACATAATTATAAAATGAGATGAAATAGCATGCTGGAAAAACAGACACGCGGTCGATTAGTAGCGACTCGATGCCAGTTGGATATGCAACGGTCGATATCCTCTCCTGTAGAATTCCCCATGTCAAAAAACAGGCGTAAATCCCACAGATGCAAAACATCAGCTTTGCAAAGCCGGAAAGGAGGGAAGAGGACGAGGCCGGGGGTGCATCCATTTGTAAAGTTTATAAAATTTGGGGGTTTTCAAGTTTTATTGTCAAAGTTATTAAATCAAGCCACACTAACCCGGATCCTATCATATCATATTGTATCACATCATATCCGAGACGTTCATGGGCATTTCTTCAATCTGCGTTGAATAGTATTGTTCAATGTCTCTGAGTACGGTAACATCATCGGCGATCACAAAATTGATCGCTACACCTTTCCTTCCGAACCGCCCGGAACGGCCAATACGATGTATATAGGATTCTCTAACAGAGGGTAGGTCATAATTGATGACTAGCGAGACTTGCTGTACATCTATGCCACGAGCCCAAACATCCGTAGTAATAAGGACGCGCGTGGAGCCCGATCGAAATTCCTTCATAATCTCATCACGCTCTCGTTGCGGCATGTCTCCGTGCATGGAGGAAACCGTAAAAGATGCTGCACGCATTTTTTCCGTAAGCCAATCTACCTTTGCTTTCGTGTTACAAAAGATGACGGCCTGGGTTATGGTAAGCGTGTCATAAAGATCGCACAGCGTATCGAACTTCCATTCCTCTTTTTCGACTGCCACGAAAAATTGTTTGATTCCTTCAAGCGTCAACTCGTCGCGCTTCACTAGGATCTTGACGGGATCTGTCATAAATTTTGATGTCATATCAAGAACATCCATAGGCAGCGTAGCTGAGACCACCACAATTTGGGTTTGTGGAGGAAGGTAGCGGTAGATATCGTAAATTTGCTCTTTGAATCCTCTTCGTAAAAGTTCATCGGCCTCATCGAGGACAAGCATTTTTACCGCTCGAGTACGAAGATTCTTGCGTTGAATCATATCAAAAACACGGCCTGGCGTTCCAGAAACAACATGTTGGCCATGATCGAGTTTTCGAATATCTTCCCCAACATTGGTGCCCCCAATGCAAATGTGCACCTGAACGTTCAGAAAATCTCCGAGAGCAAGCAAAACATTTTGCGTTTGAACAGCCAATTCTCGGGTCGGCGAAAGGACCAATGCCTGTGTCTCTCGAAGGTTTGTATCTAAAGCTTGCAGAATCCCAATAGAAAACATTCCTGTCTTTCCTGTTCCAGACTGAGCTTGTGTAATAATATCACGGCCTCGAATGATCGGCACAATCGCTCTTTGCTGTATTGCCGAGGGTTTGTCAAAGCCATAAGCGTAGATCCCTCGGAGAAGGTCTTCTTTCAATTTCATTTCGTCAAAGTCGGCATATACTTTAACAACGTCAGGATTGCTTCCATATTGAGAGGAATATTCGGTTCCATCATCCTCATGAAGCAGGTCTCTTTTTGTCATGGAAGCGAAAAAGTTTTAATCTTTAAAAATTATTAAAAAGTTGCAAATTTTATCCTCAATAGCTAATGATGGATTGCTCAAAGGTGGTAGGTAATAGGCAACCGCAACCCCTAATAGGGGTTTATCCCATTTTACGCCGATATGAGCCACAGAAAATTTCTCGTATTTAGATCCCCTGCAATAAATTACCTTCTTCTAGTTTGAACCTGGCATACCCACAATCAGAAAAATGTTAACAGACAGCGGCATTGAAAGCTGTGTCTTTCTTTCAAGGAAGACTCGAATACAAGAAAAGAACAAAGTTTAAATTTAGGTTTGGCAGAACTTATGCTAAACTTCAACCCAACTCCTAAACTGGGAAGAGCACCTAAATCCCATCCACTAACCCAATAGATGTCAATATTGATTCCGATTTTATCGCTTGCCATTTATTTGTAATCCCTTGAATTTAGGCGTATCAAACCCTTGGCAGATTAATATTTAGTGGGTGAAAACTTAAAAACCGTCACAAAGGCTAGATGCTATTTTAACGATAAACAAATTTGCGGCATTGAGATGAACCGCACAGGCATGGCAGACTGAATTCTTTTGGTCTTTTTATGACAACGTTAGAAGATGCATCCCTAGAAAGACCAGTATAATCGAAGCATAGTTCCTGTCCCCTTTTAATATCTTTACATGCAAAAAACGTATTATGATGTAGCCGCTCATCGTGGTGGTTGATGAGGCATGCATATACCCTTATATTGGGATCGCACGAATGGTTAAAAAAATGCGAAATATTGCCATATTGCCTGGCATCGATGGTATATTCAGATTCAGCCCCTTGACAGAGAAAAAAATCTAAATCAAATAAATAGGCCCTGTCATTGGCATCATATATTTTGGCTCGCTGTTCGGCTTCTTCATTTGTGATTATTTCCCCGGTATATGTTGAGATATATGTCCCTTTCTTAATATCTTGTGCAGAAACAACTCCCCACCCCCTGCCATCAGAAAATCTAACAATGTCCAATGATACTTTCCGGCCATTTTGAACAACCCGATTCAAACAATCGGATCCACATTTACAAAATAAATTGCACTCGTATATTCCACCATGGTTGGGGTTCAATATACCATTTTCATCATAAGGGAAAGAATGGTTATTAAGATGAAGACATAAACAATCCGGGTTATTGTGACACCCATTGACACAGTCGCATCCTGTTAAGAAGGAAGGGTCGGGACAAGGCACTCCAGGCCCGAAAAAGCATTCATTGATATATGTAAAGTATGGCTGGATTCCCTGATTGTCAACGTTATTTACAATTCTTATGAAAGGCCCTCGATCAGCTGCGTTTACAAGCTTTTCAAATTTTGACATCTTATAAAGGGTTTCTTTACGGAGGGGATCATTAGGGGAGGAGTATATTTTAAAAGAGTCCACATTTGGTTTGGAATCCTAAAGTTTAGCATATATGCCTACCAGTTGCATCTTAGGTTTCTCCTTTACAGCTTTTAGTTTTTTATATGCAACTAGAGATTTTTCAAATTCTTCCACCAAAGATGTACATGAGAGATTTTCATTTGGCTCCCACGTGTTGTATAGCTCACTGAAGCCCTTCCATTTCAAAAGGAATTCAGTTTTACCCTAAAATTCAAAAGGCAGGAAATTGGTACATTTACATCGCGCTTATCCAGCACCTTCTCGACCTCATATTCGATCGGGTCTGTCTCATCATCAAGTACATAGAAATTATTTAGGCCAACACTTGGGGGCACAGATAAAGATTTGGACTGTTTAACAGACCCGCACGGTTTGAGGCCCATGGGAAAAATACTGCTGATAGATTAAAAATTGCTTACAGTTTACATCAAACCCGAACTAGGGTTCGAGGGGGGCATCTAATAATTTATTATTCAATAAACTATACGGCACCATAAAACAGGAATTTTGCCCGGCATTCTTAGAATACGAGAAAGCAACACCATGGGATTTGCTTGTGAAAGTCCAGTGTTAATAATACCCGTGTTGTGCCAAAATCTCGTGCAACGGCATCACCAATAATTATGTTTATCATGTTCTAGGGATTAACAAATATATTCGCTCGATAGAACTGATTCATTGCTATTGATAGGCGCTATAATAAAAATGGTCCTGGGAATAATGTTTACATGATAGCTTGGTAAGCTTACAAACTATTTGTGATCTCAGAAAAATACTTTATCTTTAGCTGTTTTTGAAACATTTGCCTTTATTGGCGGTGTCTTATTATGAGAATGATTTTTGACTTTAGCTTTTCTTGAGGTGATTATTTAGTAAAGACACGAAAATTGCCATAGGGCTGATGAACCCTGACATTAAGTATTCAGGCAGAATCTAGTACTGCCCTTCTTAGCGATTCTCAACTGCAATCATTCCAAAAAATGATACCAGGCTCAGGCAAGTTTGGGCAAGATGTCATAATGTCGGTGTAGACGGGTTTGTAGCTATCATCGGCATCAATGAAAAAAACGGAAACTTTCTTATCAAATAATTCTGCTGCTGAATTTCTAGCGTCCCTGATTGGAACTACATGATGGGTCAAATGGGAGTGAATTATGTTGAAAGAAATGTTTCATCTAATTTTGGTTTGCGTGCGTAATTGATGTGCCCCTCCTCTTCATCCAGAGTTCGAACAGAATTATTGATGAAATAAAGCCCTGCTGAATTTGAGACCACAGAGACAATATATCAGGCTGATTTTCGAAGCCAAGAGTCGAGTTTAGCAAATACAGTGTCAATATTATCTACTGGCTACCTAGCTACATGTTTAAGCTGATAAGACTAACCAATCAATCCATGCTCATCATATTGCAGGATCTTGGCATTTCTATAAATTTCAGAGAGTGAGTATTGATAATTGGTGCAATTAATTATCCCCAAAAGGAAATCCAAAAACAAGTAAAAATGTATAGATGCACAGAAACATAGTACTAGGTACACTGTACATTATCCAAAAAATAATGTAAACAAAAACATCATCGCAAGAGCTTGACACATCAAAAGAAAGCGCTAAATCGGCTTTTGCTAGGTTATTTGAATTGAGCTTTGAAAGTTTTTGTATTAAAATAAAATGCAAGTTAAGAGGAGTCATATCTTGTTATCTAATCGTAGATATAATATGCCATATATTCGATCTGGATATGGAGAGACAGGCACAATCTGGCTAGTATCTTTAAAAATAGATTTTTTTGTGAGATTCCGAATAAGCAGTCTAAAGGGGACTAGCAGTATGTTTCATGATAACCACTAGATCATCTAAAAGTCTGTAGTGTGATGGGCGAGTTTGGCAACCGGCCCTCGCATGGGTTATACAATGCCTGGAGCATTGCCGCAGCGACACCATAAGCTTGAATTTTCGATTGTACACAACGAGATGCTCGCATCTCGTTGTTACCTGGCGGTCTTAAAAAGTCAAATTTATTTTTCAATGCAATTCCGCGTTGGCTGGTTTTTTGGCACATAATCTTGCGTTGACGTCGGTCAGCTTTGCTTGGTCGGGTTGTTCTTTTTGCTGTTGTTGAATGCAGGAGC